ACACCCTCCGAAACAAGCAGTTTAACAGCCGGTTAATAGTCAAAGAAGTCACCAGCTCCATCTGCCCGGCTGATATTCTGTATAAATTGGGCGTTCTTGCCCAACATTAGTTACATTACTCCTGTGTGCTCAACTAAGTAGACCTGTTAACATCTGTGTGGGGTAACGGATTTAGTCAGACTAGCCCATAGTATTCTGCACCATATTTTGCACCTTAACGTAACGTAAATTTGATTTTTCATCCTGTTTGTTTTGCACACTTTGTATTAGAGCCAAGCCAGGATATTTTTGTAATTTGTTTAATTTATTTTTAAAGTAAAGTATTTAATTGTTTTTTTTCCCTCTGCTTTATCCTACAGTTTACCTCACTGTGAAGGCACCTTTGCAGTTTAATTTTTTTTTATATATTTTGTGACTGGAATTAGAGACTGCATGGCCACCAATGTTTCCCATGGTGGGAAAAACCTGCTGGGATTGATATAAGAGGAGACTACCAGGGACTTGTACTGAACTAAATTAAAAATTTACTGTCTGCAAATTAATTCAATTAAAATCTCTAGCTAGGGTTGTAAATCCTAGTTCCTCTTTTCCTAATGACAGACTGTGGGCTGTAAGGGACAGGTGGGGTGAATGACTTTGTTGATAGAAGTTCCAATCCACCTGTAGACAGGGATCTCACATCAGCTTGTATTTTATACAAGGATAAGATTTAATAAATTCAGTTATATGACTGAACACTGGCTCTGTTTAAATCAGGGATTTAAACATACATAGTCTAACCCAGCACCATAACTATTAACAGCCAATATGTACTTATACTATAAACAACAAATTAAATTGTAAAAGTATAATAAATGACCTTAAATGTAGTCTAAATACTGTTAACTAAGTACTAGTAATTATATTCAATTAATGAACTTATATGATAACTTAAAAATAACTAAGCAAGCAATTGATAACTTTATTTATATATTCAAATATATATGCAGACATATTCTATTTATATGATACAGTTAGCTTGAGTGAATCTCTTCCAACACTATGGACACTTGTTAGGTTTTTACTTATTGAGGCTGAATTCTTTCTGACACAATGGACACTCACGAGGTTCAGTGCTTGGATAAGATTCACAGCTACACTACAATTTTAATAAACGTACCGATGAATGAGGCTTTGCCTCGCTTTATTACCGACAGACAGATTTATGGAATATTAAAGTTATACAAGCATACAATTGGCCAATTAATACGCTACTGTAATAAACTTCAATATACTTATCTGAAGCCGGGTGCCTGTCTGACAAGTTTGCCAGACTGATTAACTCTCTTGTCGAGTTTCGGCACTATATTTTTGTCACAGCGTTGCTGTATGATGATCTGGTAGTGTTGCTATGTGATTATCCTGCAGTTGCAGAAGAATGATTGGAGAAACAGAATAGGAATGAAGGTGGTGGAAACCGCGTCACTGTGATCTCCACTAAACACTCTTATTTTATATAAATGTTCTAGGATTTTCCTTGTAGATATTGTCCAGGTACTCCCCCAGTTCTAGAGAGTGTTCACTGGCGATAAAAATGTTAAATAAGGTGTCCTTGAGCTGGTAATGTTCGCTAAGGATCAGTCACTTGTTCACTCAGTTGTAAACAAACGCGGAGTGCCTCGAGGCATCGTCGTGGGCGCTTCTCGCCCCCGAGATCCTCCCCCCTCTCCCTTGAGAGGTAGCTTTCAATGAATATTGATTGATTATTTTTACAGTCTAGACTTATGATTGAAATAAGATGTGATTATAATATAATTAGATATAAGATTTAAAGATTATAAGTAGTATTTGAAAGTACCACTGAATCTTATTAAGGATTCGATATTATCCCTACCGGATGTTGAATAAATGTTCCAATAGTTTTTTAATTAACAAATCCTTCTAGAAGCTTCTGGATCCTTGAGAGATCATGTACAAAGTCACGTAGGCATCAAAAGGGCCCAGTTGCGTACGTGTTCATGGTGCCATTGTCATCTAGGATCAAGCTATATAATGAATCTTTAATGATTCTAAAATGATTTTGATACGATTTAGATATGATTTTGATATGATATAGAAATGATATAGAAATTATACATTTCTTAGATGATTATTAGATATGGTGGGTAAAAATTTCCCACACCCATCACACATTCGTTTACGCATTTGTCTGCTATTCGTCTATTAGGTCACTAGATAATTGGGCAAAGTGAAACTAGACCAAATTATGGATTATTTTTTTCACAGCCAGGATTGTGCAGCAAACACTACTGACAGAACTCATCAATAGCATCAACTGAGAGAAAACATGAAACCATGAAGTCTGTTCTATCCTTGTTTGTATGTGATAATGATGGAACTAGTACTCTGAGCAGACCTAGATGAATTATGGACTTTGACTAAGGATTTCAAAGAGTACACAGGACTAAGATTCTTACAGCAGGCACCCAGAACACAGCAGAAAAAGTATATTTGTCGATTGAAAGAATAAAAGATTGAATAAAAGATTGTCGATTGAAATGAAATGATGCATATGGCAAACAAGCTGGAGACAACGATAGGCACAGACCAAGAGAAGGAGACGCCTGGTCACCAGGACCAGTTACATAAAGCAGCTATAGCTGTAACAGACCATGTAATGTCCTGCGGGTATTTGGTAACAGGGGCCACCCCCTCCCCCAGAGAAGGCTGTGGTTCTCCCCTCAGAATAGGAACCAGGTCAACTGATTCAATAATGTGTGACAACCCATGAAATGACTGCCAATTGTAACATTGGCCTCAGAGGGCCATTACATTTTTGAAGACTCACTACGAAAAAAGGAATTAGAGATACGAGAGCTATACAAGAGACAACGACTATGGATACAACGGAAAAGAGATATTGGTACAACAAAATGAGGTAAAGTCCCATACAAAAGATTTGGTTCCTTAGAAGATTCTCTGGTGCAAGTGTTACGACCTGGTTGGTCCTTGTGATAAGCAGTATATAATAATACAAAAAAAATTGTTATACAATTAGTATATGGTGCATATTTAGGCATTGGTTAGGTTAGGTGTTTAGGTTATGTTGGCAATTATTTGTATTTGTAGTACGTGGGTGAAGCATTTACAGCATTGTGGTTCAAACAAAAGTCGTCAACGAATCAGTATTAAAGATATGTTTGAACGTCATCAGTTGTGGTCTACCTGATCAACCAGGCTGTGATTCGTGCGTCAGACTGCGAGCAGCCGCGTCCAACGGGCTGGTTGACCAGTCCAGCCACCAGGAGGCCTGGTCGATGACCGGGCCGCGGTGATGCTAAGCCCCGGAAACACCAAGGTGAGACATGTAAAAACAGGATTTCATTCATAAACCTTGGGGGGGGGGGGGGCGGGGGGTTTAGTAGGTGTATGGAATGTACTTTAGCCTTTGTTTACGAAGACGAGCTTTTACACTTGACTCAATTGATCGTATGCAAACTTCAGTGCTTAGCTGGCGACCTCTATTAGAATTTGAAAGCTCTAACTTTCACTTCACGTACTTCTAATATAAGTAATAGCCAACAGAACCTCAACAACTAATCTAATCTACCCCCTAACTTTACATTGAAATTTAAATTATAATATTAACTCATGACAACCAATTGTTTACACAATGTTAAACCGGATGAATACATTTGACCGGGAGGGAAGGAGGGGGGGGGGGACGGTCACCACTAATGAGCCTGGCCTGAGGACAGGGATGCTGGAAACGAGCATTTGACCTTTGTCGAAAAAGAGAGGTTGGTTTACTACAGTTCAACCCATCCATGAATGGGCTAAGTTCATCCAGACCTGAAATTTACCATTTGGAGGAGCTGCCCTTCCTAGGTACCTGCGTATGTATATATATAGATGAAGAAAGAGGCCCATAAAGGTTTATTACAAAGTCTGAAACCTTCACGTTTATAAACATCCTGCCACCTGGTTTCTCTCTCAAGAGATCTACCTTTCTCCCTGGGAACCCGAGTCAAAGGTATAACTAGTGATCAGAGTAATCAGGGGAACGGCTTGGAGGAGCTCTAGGGCAGTCAAGTGACTGCCCAAAATCTCTAATAGGAAAAGCTGCCAAGAAACTGGCCTCTCCAGTGACATTTTGTACGGGAACACACATCCTATCTATAAAGGAAGGTTCTACCCAAGTTACTCATTCCGACCACTTCAGGATGCCTCCGAAAGGAAGTTAACACGCTCTAGTCTTGGATGAAGGAAACCTTCGGTGAACATCCGGCCTGGAACTCGCTTCCTTCGGAGCCTCCTTTGTTAGCTTGGACAAAGGGAACATCCCCCAGTGACATTAGTATGCTTCATTCCCAGCAAAACCATAGACCCCTTGAGTAGTATGGGGTCCCTGCTTTAAAACCTTTTATCCTGTGGTCATAGGAGCTCTGCCAATTATATAGTCTTCTCGCAATAATGAGGGACACTTAGCACTAACAACAAACCAGGTAAACTACGTTACGCAGTTCTGGAGACCCAGAAACGTTCACCTCTAACACTTCACAGGGCCTGCCACCTGACCACAATTTCTGTTGATCTGTAGAATTGCTGCAGCGTTCCAGAGCTACCAATACCTTGTGCAAGATGCGGATGATGGCCACGTAGCTGCCAAGTGGTCAGCCTCCCGAAACTGTCCCCGACGGTATATTCAGCTTGTTAGGTTTTGCCCCGACACTTTCCCCTCATTCTACAACTTTCCTTTCGCAGGACAGTCTTCTAACCCCCAGCTAAAGCATCACCCTCTTGGGTAGTTTTTGTCTATAATTGATTCGACTGGTGGGATAGAAGAGACTAACAGAAGGGTGGATGGAGAGGGGAGGCAAGAGGATTGAAATGTACCCAAAAATGTTAGATTAACATTAACCATGTTACACTACCTACCACTAAATGGTCAAATTACTGGCCAAAAGAATGGTTTACCACTCTTAAGTGATTGATGCACAAATTAAATTAGACTTTACCTATTAGAAGATCACTGCTTCATGGTATAGTGAGTTAAATGATTAAAATTAAACCCTTCACATATTGTACTTGTGGGAATATATACACTACATTATAACCACTGCGATTGATTCGAGAGAAGCTTTTCCAAGTAACTTTAATCCCTCCATACCTGCAGTGCCGCTGTACGAGACCAATTTCTTGGGTCTGGTTGACCATTCCTGCAGTGCCGTTGTACTGATGCACTCTCGTACATATCTGAAATTAACAAATATATTAAATACCTCAAAATAATAAAATGAACACATCTTCATGAAAAGTTTGAGAAATATCCCGCTAAACAATCGATCAGGTCAGACTGGTTGATCTAAAAAGCCGACTTACCACTATGGCAAAACCCAACCTCAGACTTGACTCATCTACAGGCCGTTCTCAACAACGGCCTAGTGAACATTGAAACAACGGCCTAGTGAACCCAGGCAGCCAAACATGACTGTTCTCAACAACGGCCAAGTGGTCGTTAACCCGGCAGCCAAACATGAACGTTCTCAACAACGGCCAAGTGGTCGTTAACCCGGCAGCCAAACATGAACGTTCTCAACAACGGCCAAGTGGTCGTTAACCCGGCAGCCAAACATGAACGTTCTCAACAACGGCCAAGTGGTCGTTAACCCGGCAGCCAAACATGAACGTTCTCAACAACGGCCAAGTGGTCGTTAACCCTTGCAGCCAAACATGAACGTTCTCAACAACGGCCATATGATCGTTAACCCGGCAGCCAAACATGAACGTGAAGAACGCTTCACACATAACTTGTCCTCAATCTATGCTCCTCCGTGCCCTGACCCACAACAGTTCATACATTTTAACACTAAGATTCATTTAAAATAGTTTTTCATACGTGAACTATTATTATACATAGTTATTTATTACGGAAGGGAGACTGGTTGGAATACACTCGGGAGCTATAATTTCCAACAACTATCAGACCTATACACTATATAAATATACATTAATATTTACTTGTATTGGACAAAATATAGTGTTTAGTTACACAGGAGGTTAATGTTAATTATGGCGTCTCTGGTGTTGGCTGCAGCGTGGACGACATTGAGTCAGGATGGCTAGTTGCTTTCACATAGGATTGTCGGAGGGGGGGGGGTGAAGAGTGACACTTGCTAAATTAAAAGTCTTTGGTCCGAATTTCAAAGCCTGAAGTCTGATAATTCACAAGAAACACCTTGTAACTGCCAGAATTTAACTATAATAATTTGTAAACTTTTTCCACCTGCTTTTGGTCGAAGGTTCAATTTCACTATAAAGTTAACACTCACGCCGCTGTTATGGAACAGTTAATCACATAGCAGTCGTTTTAGAATTTAATTTTGTTTTAATAAGCTTCATGAAAAGTCTTGAGCAAGGTAAAAGTGTCTACTAATAGACAAAGGTATATTACACTATCATATTTACTAACAAGTAAACCAGAGCTAATTGAATTATTTTAAATAAAGTTTTAATATTTTGTAGCCATGGTTAATTAGAAAATCGGCAAATATTGTTCTACCAACAGAAAACAATGTAATAAAATAACTAAACATCTAGAGTAACTTGCCTGTAAGCCTGGCGCAGGTAACCTGATCTACAGCACTGTCCAGGTGACTAATTAATAACACCAGTGAGGCGGGCGGTGAGCAGCACCTCTCCCCACGACGGCCCGCGCCACACTGCCCGCCGCGCCTCTTGACTATCTTGGCCTGTGGTGGGCGGTGAGCAACACCTCTCTCCACGACGGCCGGCGCCACACTGCCCGCCGTGCCTCTTGACTACCTTGGCCTGATGGATCAACTACCTGTGACGTCATTCACCTCACCTCACATGAGGCCGCCTCAAAACAAATAATTCACAAGTAACAAGTCACTTCAACAATATTAATATAGTTTATTTCTATTAATGTGAAGTATGAGCAAGTGTGAGTATGTATTAAAAGCACATACTTCACTACTGGGCATTAAGCCCACTACCACACCCACCTAGTAGCATGGAGGTTCTATAACGCCTTCTGTAACTGTGTTATGTTGGGGTCTAGGCCAGGGGCCAGGTACAGTAACCGGTTATGGTGTTCAGCCTCGTGAGTGTGTGTGTGTACTCATCTAGTTGTGCTTGTGGGGGTTGAGCTCGGCTCTTTGGTCCCGCCTCTCAACCGTTAATCAACAGGTGTACAGGTTCCTGAGCCTATTGGGCTCTATCATATCTACACTTGAAACTGTGTATGGAGTCAACCTCCACCACATCACTTCTTAATGCATTCCATTTGTCAACCACTCTGACAGTAAAAAAGTTCTTTCTAATATCTCTGTGGCTCATTTGGGCACTCAGTTTGCACCTGTGTCCCCTAGTGCGTGTGCCCCGTGTGTTAAATAGCCTGTCTTTATCAACCGTGTCAATTCCCTTGAGAATCTTGAAAGTTGTGACCATGTCCCCCCTAACTCTTCTGTCTTCCAATGAAGTGAGGTTTAAATTCCCGTAGTCTCTCCTCGTAGCTCATACCTCTCAGCTCGGGTACTAGTCTGGTGGCAAACCTTTGAATCTTTTCCAGTTTAGTCTTATGCGTGACTAGATATGGACTCCATGCTGGAGTCGCATACTCCAGGATTGGTCTGACGTATGTGGTATATAATGTTCTGAAAGATTCCTTACACAAGTTTCTAGAGGCCGTTCTTATGTTAGCCAACCTGGCATATACTGCTGATCTTATCCTATTGATATGTGCTTCAGGGGACAGGTCTGGCGTGATATAAACCCCCAGGTCTTTCTCTCTCTCTTACTCTTGAAGTATTTCATCTCCCAAATGGTACCTTGTATCTGGTCTATTGCTTCCTACCCCTATCTTCATTACATTACATTTGCTTGGGTTAAACTCTAACAGCCATTTGTTCAACCATTCCTGCAGCTTGTCCAGGTCTTCTTGAAGTCTCAAGCTGTCCTCCTCTGTCTTAATCCTTCTCATAATTTTGGCGTCGTCAGCAAACATTGAGAGGAATGAGTCTATACCCTCTGGGAGATCATTTACGTATATCAGAAACAGGATAGGTCCAAGTACAGAGCCCTGTGGGACTCCACTGGTGAATTCACGCCATTCTGAGGTCTCACCCCTCACTGTAACTCTCTGCTTCCTATTGCTTAGGTACTCCCTTATACACTGGAGCGCCCTACCAGTTACTCCTGCCTGTTTCTCCAGCTTGTGCATCAATCTTTTATGGGGTACTGTGACAAAGGCTTTCCGACAGTCCAAAAAAATGCAGTCCGCTCATCCTTCTCTTTCTTGCTTAATCTTTGTCACCTGATCGTAGAATTCTATCAGGCCTGTAAGGCAAGATTTACCCTTCCTGAACCCATGTTGATGGGTTGTCACGAAGTCTCTTCTCTCCAGATGTGTTACTAGGTTTTTTCTCACAATCTTCTCCAGCACTTTGCATGGTATACAAGTTAAGGACACTGGCCTGTAATTCAGTGCCTCTTGTCTGTCACCCTTTTTGTATATTGGTACTACGTTAGCAGTCTTCCATATTTCTGGTAGGTCTCCCGTTTCCAGTGACCTACTATACACTATGGAGAGTGGTGGGCAAAGTGCTCCTGCACACTCTTTCAATACCCATGGTGAGATTCCATCCGACCCAACAGTTTTTCTCACATCCAGCTCCAATAGGTGCTTCTTGACCTCATCTCTTGTAATTTCGAACCTTTCCAAGGTCACCTGGTTTGCTGCCACCTCTCCTAGCGTTGTGACATCTCCCTGTTCTATTGTAGAGACCTCCTGGAACCTTTTGTTGATTTCTTCACACACCTCTTTGTCATTCTCTGTGTACCTGTCCTCACCCACTCTAAGTTTCATCACCTGTTCCTTCTCTGTTGTCTTCCTCCTGATGTGACTGTGTAGTAGCTTTGGTTCGGTCTTGACTTTATTAGCTATATCATTTTCATACCTTTCCTCAGCTGCTCTTCTCACACTAACGTACTCGTTCCTAGTTCTCTGGTATCTCTCTCTACTTTCTGGTGTTCTGTTATTACGGAAGTTCCTCCATGCCCTTTTGTTCAGCTCCTTTGCTTTCATACATTCCCTATTAAACCACGGATTCTTCCTTTGCTTCTCTGTTTTTTCCTGTCGGACTGGGACAAACCTGTGTACAGCCTCCTAACATTTTTGGGTGACATAGTCCATCATGTCTTGTATGGACTTGGTTCCAAGTTCTGTGTCCCAACGTATATCCCATAGGAATTCATTCATCTCCTCATAGTTCCCCTTTCGGTACGCCAGCCCTTTGTTTCCAAGTTCTTTTTTGGAGGTGATAATTCCTAGCTCAACCAGGTACTCAAAGCTCAATACACTATGATCACTCATTCCCAAGGGGGCTTCCAACTTAACTTCCCTTATATCCTACTCATTTATTGTAAACATCAAATCCTGCAAGGCTGGTTCATCCCCTCCTCTCATTCTTGTCGGTTTCTTGATGTGTTGACTTAAAAAGATTCTTGTTGCCACATCCAGCAGCTTAGCTCTCCATGTGTCTGGGCCTCCATGTGGGTCTCTGTTCCCCCAATCTATCTTCCCATGGTTGAAGTCTCTAATGATTCAACCCGTTCTCGCACTTTCTTACAGTCAATATTGACTTATTATATAAGTGCATATGTGACATACTAATTTATTGTGAATATTTTAGTTTACCTTGAAAAGCTTCATAGAAAACACCGACCTTACCTAACCTTCTTAGTATGTTAAGATAGGCATCTTATTGCTTCGTAATTACAATTATTACTTAACCTATTATAGATATAGGTTAAGTAATAATTGTAATTACGAAGCAATAAGATGCTTATCTTAACATACTAAGAAGGTTATGTAAGGTCGGTGTTTTCTATGAAGCTTTTCAAGGTAAACTAAAATATTTACTATAAATTAGTATGTCACATATGCACGTATTTAATAAGTCAATATTGACTATATGATAATGCGAGAATGGGTTGCATGATTAGTAGTCTAGATCTGTTTCTCCTAGCCACAGAAGCTGATCTCTCTATTATATTGATGGTGGCCCAGTTGTTTCTATCATATTCCTGTCTGGTCTTTTGTCATTCGGTGGGGGGTTATATATGACTACAACTATAATTTTCTGTCCTGCAGTTGCTATGGTGCCTGATATGTAGTCACTGAAACCTTCACAGTTCTGAATTACCATCTCTTCAAAACTCCAACCTTCTCTTAGTAGCAAAGCTACACCACCTCCTCCTCTCCCTTCTGTCTCTTTCCTCATTACATAGTAGCCCTGTGGAAACACTGTGTTTGTTATAGTTTTCGTTAGCTTTGTTTCTGTGAGTGCTATTATGTCTGAGTTTTCTTCTAGTGCCCATTCTCCGAGTTCACTTGTTTTATTTGTACTCCCATCTATGTTAGTGTACATTGCCTTGAAGCTCACTTTCTTCTGTTCATTTGCTTGTCCCTTTCTTGGCGAGCATTCTGCTGGTGTGGGAAGCAGTTCCGTGGGTGAGAAGATCTGTGAGGTGGTTTGCAGGGTCTCAGAAGATTTTGGAGTGGGGGGAGTGGGGGTTTAAGGGAAGGGGGGACAGGTAGGGTGTGGGTTAAGGAGATAAAGGGGACATGGAGGATACTGGGTGAGGGGGGAGGTGGGATAGGGAGGGTATGGGATGAATGGGGAGGGGAGACAAGGGGGGAAAGGTGGGAGGGGGGGACATGACAGGAATGGGGAAAGAATGACAGGGTCAGAATGGGGTGGGGGGAGGGAGGGTTGGGTGTGGGCAGGTAGGGTGAGGGAAAGTGAGGGTTTCTTTGCAGAGGGGGGTGGTGGTGTTGCCCTCCCTTCTGGTGTTGCTGGGATGCAACACCAGAGGGGAGGCCAACACACACACATGTGTGTGTGTGTGTGTGTGTGTGTGTGTACTCACCTAGTTGTACTCACCTAGTTGTGTTTGCGGGGGTTGAGCTCTGGCTCTTTGGTCCCGCCTCTCAACCGTCAATCAACAGGTGTACAGATTCTTGAGCCTATTGGGCTCTATCATATCTACACTTGAAACTGTGTATGGAGTCAGCCTCCACCACATCACTTCCTAATGCATTCCATTTGTCAACCACTCTGCCACTAAAAAAGTTCTTTCTAATATCTAAAAATGTATGTGTGTGTGTGTGTGTGTGTGTGTGTGTGTGTTGGGGTCTTGGCCAAGGGCCAGGTACAGCAACCGGTTACGGTACTCCCCTAATTGTACTCAACAAATTGTGCTTGCGGGGGTTGAGCTCTGGCTCTTTGTTCCCACCTTTCAACTGTCAATGAACTGATGTACAGTTCCTGAGCCTACTGGGCTCCGTCATATCTACATATGAAACTGTGTATGGAGTCAGCCTCCACAACATCACTGCCTAATGCATTCCACCTGTTAACTACTCTGACAGTGAAAAAGTTCTTTCTAACATCCCTGTGGCTCATTTGGGTACTCAGTTTCCACCTGTGTCCCCTTGTTCGCGTACCACTCGTGTTAAACAGTTTATCTGTTTTTACCCTGTCAATTCCTTTAAGAATTTTGTAAGTAGTAATCATGTCTCCCTTACACTTCTGTCTTCTAGTGTCGTGAGGTGCATTTCTCGCAGCCTTTCTTCGTAACTCATGGCTCTTAGTTCTGAGACTAGCCTAGTGGCATATCTCTGAACATTTTCAAGCTTCACCTTGTGCTTGACCAGGTACGGGTTCCATGCTGGGGCCGCCTACTCCTGAATTGGTCTTACATATGTGGTATACAAGGTTCTGAATGATTCCGT